TCTTAGCAACAGCCCCCAATTTCATCTGGAGATCCACCCTTAGCCCCTCTCTCCGACCACTGCCATTTAGTACCTTTCATCTTATTGACCAAGCAATTGATTTGGGGATGGGCCAATGACTTCTTGGCGCCAATGAAATGCAGGAAGATTTCTCTCCCTTTGACTAAAACCCGTCGTGGACAGGGTTCAGCAAAACCTCCAGACCAAGACATGCCGGGAAGAAAGGTCTGGTGAGCTACTTCTGGAATGCGGCAGTGAGAACCGCGTGTATGGATCTCAACAGAAGATTGTCCCTATGTGCTGCAGGATGGCCCCTGGGCTGAAAGGCCCTCACAGGACAGAAGGACTGCAACAATGGACTTGAGCATTGGCTCGTGAGGACGGTGCAGGACCAGGCAACGCTTAGTTCTGCTGTTTGCGGGATCACTATGAGTAAGAGCCAACTCGACAGCAATAACAAGAAGAAGACTTAAACCAGGAGCCCTGGTGGCACAGTGGTTAAAGCTCTTGGCTGCTAAGCTAAAAGCTGGTGGTTGAAACCCACTAGGTCCTCCGTGGAAGAAAGATGTGGCGGCCTGCTTCCATAAAGTTTCCAGCCTTAGAAAATTCCTTGTTTATGTGTAAGCAAGTTTGGTTTGGATCTTTTGGTGTCTCCCAGGAGTCCTGCCGGTTGTATGTGTGGATATCATGGGTCATCACCTCTAGTTCCAACCCTCACAAAGCTGCTAAAAACCTAGGGGTCCCTTCTTTACAGCCCTGCTCTTAGCATGACCTCCTCCCACTCCTGGGGTGTTGCAGGCCAGAAGGGAGGGAAATCAGGCAGGTCACCTGCTGGGAGCAGAGAGAACTCTGGTCACTTCTTTTCCTGGCACCAGAATCCTCTTGGTGGGAGTAGTCGACCCTTCAGCCCCTGCCTGAGACAGATGGACTTTTTTTCTGAATCTCGGTATCTAAACAGGTGAGAGAACCCAGCGACGCTGCCTGATGAGGGTTCCTTGAGTGTGCCAGACACACATCGGCATGTGCTAGACACTGTCTTAAGCTCCCTACAAGAATCTTACCATAAGAGTCTCCGAGCAACTCACTAAGGCAGTGTCCTCAATTTACAGGAAAGGAAACGAAGGGAATTCACATTTTCCCCACGTGACGCTCCCCCTCGCCACCCTCCTCACTGAGTCCCTGTAAGGAGACAAATGTGGCAAGGAGGGTCTCCATGGTCCCTGTGCAGCACCCCTTAGTGACTGTGTGGAGTGCTTGCTGGGCCGAGGCAGTCCACAGACACGACAACCAGGAGAGGGTGGCCAGCTGGCAGTCCCCAGGCAGGACGTGAACCACTAAGAAGCACACTTACACCTTTGG